TTTCGATAGTTCCGAACTAGGCCTAAATTCTATAGTTCTGAACCACTTCTAAAAACAACAAACGAAAGAAATAAGTATCATGATTTTTCAAACTTTTCGGTTCTTCAGTGTGTACGACTTTAAATTATTTTCAAGGAAATTTGAACTTAAATTTGTTTGAATGATTGTAAGAAATGTACGTTTACATACCTTTGGCTCTAGCTGAGTTTGCAGAGATGCTTGCTGTTGTTGGTTAGATTAGAAGGTCCCAAGACGTTAAATGTTACCGCAAATTTTTGGTTTGCATTACCAAGCTATAAAAAGCATCTGGAAAGTGCCGAATGGAAGCCTATTTGAACGAAAAAGCCGCCAAACACATATCTATGTAAAGTAAACAAGCCCCCGCTGCATACCCTTTTCGATAGCTCCGAACTAAATATGTAGTTCTAAATTCGACAGATAAGATCTAGTTCGTTCTGCATCCTTTTTACGATAGTTCTGTACCAGTTCTAAATTCGTCATCTTAGATATACATATATTTCTAATGAAAAAAGTAAAAAAAAAATAGTTTTTGAAAAGTACCACATTTCAATTGTTTTGATGGTGGGGATCTAGTTACTATCGTACTGGTTCGTTTTTGACGATAGAGATCTATTACGGAACTAGAAATTTGATTCACTAATTCGCGGTTTCCTTGCAGGGTATGTACATACTATGTCCATATGAAAATACAAAGAGTGCCTAAGGTTATTTGCTGCGGCAACCTCTATGGAGAAGTCAGTCTGTCTGTCATGCGGCACGAATGCTCTTTAGCTATAGTAAAATTTGTAGTATACTACACTCCTAGCCGCGGAACAACATTTTGCTTGTAAATCTTTGCAAATAAGCCATTAGCATGAATGAGCGTTTGACCGCGACAAACTACAAATTTTGACGTGCATATGTGCATAGCAGGGTTGTTGCGAATATTATTCCGAAATAAAAGTCTTTTCCGGATAATAAACAAACTGCCGTCTAAACGAGGAAAGCCACATATTGAAAAATATTTCAACAAAAAATGATAATTATTTGCCATAGAACAAACCTTTTGTCAGGTATATGCATTTCTTAAGTATTGAATTATAAAAAAAATATAAATAGAGGTCGTTCGTTATTTCTGTTTAAAACCTATTTCAGTCCTCTTTCATATGATACCACATTTAATTTAATTTAATTTTTAGAGGCCGTTTGTTTATTATCCGGAAAGGACTTTTATTTTGGAAAAATATTCGCAACAACCCTGGTGCATAGGTATGCGAATGCACAGTGTAATTAACCCTTTTCGTTTACCAATATCGTGACAGTGTTTTTTGTTGCTGGCTAAACAAGGTTGTTGAAAAAGGTTATAGTTAGAATCATTTACATTTTGGAACTTATTTACGAAGCTAAAAAGGTTAGGTAACTTTATTGCGAAAAATTTAGTTTTACCCCTGCTGTTTTCTATTTCCGCAGCATTGAGATCGACCAGGTTATCGGGTCCTTTGAAGGTATCCTCAAAAGCGATATACACATATATTTTATAAAATCGGATTAAAATAAATAAATTTTCTTTAAGTAAATCATTGCCGGAAAATAGGTAAAAATTTTAAGTTAATGAAATGTCTCATTAATGCTAAGTTTTATATTTCACAACAAATTAACGAAATTAAAAGTTGTATTTGTCCGTAAAGTGCGTGAATTTTCGTCCACCAAATTCTCTGAGTTCAGACCGATAAGACTCGTTCTTTTTACTGAAGCCACTGGAGGGCATATTAGACACCATATCTCGGAAATAATGGCTTCGAAGCTTTCATCTATACAACACGTATATAAGTAACAAAGGAAAGGAGTATCTGCATGTAAGAAAGATGGCATGACTCCAATAAAGCACGCCAGTCGTTTCTTTTATGTGGCAACTGAGGCCAAATGGAAATGGCAAGTGAAGCCATGTCCTTCTTCTCCTGGTCTTTCTAACGCAGTGGGTGCTTCAATCTTTTTCTGCAACCACCAACTGGTTCCGATTTATATATTTTCGGAATTGGAGCGTCTGTGCCCCTTCGAATGACATGGCCGAGCCAGCGGAGCCGCTGTATTCTAATCGGCTGCACTATGTCTACAGCGTTGTAATGTTCATACATCTAATCGTTCCGTCGTGTGCGGTACTCGCGGTCGCCAATGCGCCTAGGCACATAAATCTTCCGCCCAATCTTTCTCTCGAACACTCCCAAGACCTGCCTCATCAGATGTTTTCATTGTCCATGCTTCTGCGCCATATACCAGCACGGGCATGATGAGTGACTTATAGAGTGTGATTTTTGTACGTCGAGAGACTTTACTTGTGAATTATCCACCCAAGTAAAAGTAGCACTTGTTGGCAAGAGTAATTCTGCGTTGGACTTCGATGCTAACATTATTATCGGTGTTAATGCTTTTTCGCAAGTCAACAAAATTCTCTACTTTCTCGAAATTATACCTGCCAGTAGTGACGTGAGTGCCAAGACGTGAATGCGCTGACTGTTTGTTTGATGACAGGAGATACTTCGTCTTGTCCTCGTTGACCACCAGACCCAATCGCTTATCGCATTCCAGGCAGAATAGACTTCGCGGTTCTTGTTACTGATGATGTCGATGTGTTGGTAGCAAACGGCTCTTACAGGTCTTTCCCAATTCTGACGGAGCCGATGGTATTGCTCAACGTCATTTTCGCAGGGATACCGAATTCCAACATCGCCGCGTATAGGCAACTCTTTTTATTGCTGTCAAAAGCGGCTTTGAAGTCGATAAATAGGTGGTGAGTGTAGATGCTTTTCTTGCCGATATTTTTCCAAATTTGGCGTATAGTGAATGCCTAGTCTATGGTGGATTTGCCGGACACGTGCAATAATGTTAATGGAATTAATGTCACTGACATTAATACGCAATTGAAAATTGAATTAATGCCTGAAATACTAAAAAGCTTGCAAGCTTTACGGTGACGTAATAAGGCGCAGCGGAAATAAAGTCAATGGACACTATTTCTTATCGCCCATAGACAATTGTATTACCTTTTCGAAAGCGCAGTAAAATCCATGGAATTATTCATCTATCAAAAAAATATTCACAAAATACACTTCTAACATACTACATACTATAAACAAGGTAGCTTTAAAAGTGCATAACACCATGGTGATCAGCGTCCGCGCGGCGAGCTACCCCGCGTCGCGTCGCGCAGTGCGCGCATCTTTTAGCCTATGCTTAGAAGGCTGATCCCGCGGTAGTTGGATCTTGTGGATTGGGCAGAGCACATTTAAATTCCAGTCGTAGGGCATGCCTTCATCTGACCATATTCTGCGTTCATGTGACCATTGATGCCTGCACCTTATCAACTGCTCGCCTCCGTACTTGAATAGCTCAGCTGGCAGGCTGTCAGCTCTGGAAGATTTGTTGGTTTTCAAGCGCGCTATTGCTATTCGTACTTCGTCATAGTCGGGCGGTGGAACATCGACTCCATCATCATCGACTGGCGGATCTGGTTCGTCTTCTCCAAAACTTTCAGTACTCCTACCATTCAGTAGGCTGGAAAAGTGTTATAAAGTGTATAATTTAAGTAAGTTCTGCACGTCAGTCACTAAGTCGCCATTATTGCTCTTAGGTGAGTTCGCCCTAGTCTTGAAACCTTCCGAAATTCGCCAGCTCTCTGGTGAAATTTTCGCGCGCTTTTCCTGCCGGCCAGCGTTTCAAGCTCTTTGTTCTAACGTATTTAGGCCTCCCTCTTCTTATTGTGGCAAATACGTCGCGCTTAACTCCCTATAGCGGCCCCACTTAGCAGGCGTTTCGCCCAATCGCAGCGTGGCCCTGTAGGCGGCATCTTTTTTCTCTGCAGCTTCTTCGACAGTCCTCATCGTACCAAATCCGACCACTTCTTTGGCGGCGGTACTTAAAGAACGGGAATGTGGTTCCACTGCTCACATATGTCGGTTTGTTGAAGAGTGCTCTCTGAGAGCAGGTAGGAGAGTCGAGTAGCGAACGCAGTGGCCGTCTGTTGGGACTTCAGCTTTACGACTTTAAGCTTTCCTTGCATTTTTGGATGCACATTTTTTGGCTGTACGTCTAAAACACTGGAGGCGCGCCTTGCGTCTATCACAACATGATCGATTTGTTTTCTCGTTTTTCAATCCGGAGATAGCCACGTAGTTTTTAGGCTTCAACCTTGTACTGTATTTATATTTCCATGTTCCGGGCCCCGGCGAAGTCGTTAAGCCTCAATCCGTTGTCAAATGTTTCATCGTGAAGGCTGGATTTTCCGACGGTGGTTCCAAATACTGCATATTACCATGTTCCGGGCCCCGGCGAAGTCGTTAAGCCTCAGTCCGTTATCGGACGTTTCGTCGTGGAGGCTGAATTTTGATATCCTGGTGGCGACATCGCTCGTATATGTGCTCCAAGCGCTAATAGAAGCTATCCTTGGACACTTTTCCTTCTCTTCTGTCGGGGCGCGGGCGCAAATTAGCGGGATGTTAAAGAATATTACTTTTATTCGAATTGTGGCAAGACGTTCATCCACCGGGGTAAATGACAGTACTCGGGGCGGAATCTCTCTCCTACCAAAATCCTTACGAGGACATCAACCAGCCGAGCAGAGGCACCTTCCCCATTAAGGGTCGGACATTCCAGGTGCATGCCCTTATATCGTAGTCCTTTTAACGTTTGCAATGGTCGTCATCAACTACGACAGACACTGCATTTATGTATACTACATTCTATCTCGATTCGTTTTGGCTGTTACAAACAACTGTTATGTGAACAAAGTTATGGTACCCTTGTACGCAAATGAAAAACTTGGTATTTAACGTTTATTTTCGGTCCCTGCTCTGAAGAAATTCAATTTTATACAAGTGCTACTCGATATTATTTTATTTTTAAGGAAGCGATGTATGTATATAGTTAAATAGAAATACGACATAATATATTTGATAACAAAATCAATAAGGAATCAATTTTTTGTTTTGTTTTTTACTTTACAGAAGTTTCTTCACTGACCGAGCTTGCTGCTCGCTGTGTCGCCTCCTACATACCTTTCGAACTGGTTGAACACGTTTATCCGCCCGTACCGGAGCAACTGCAGCTGCGTATAGCGTTTTGGAGTTTTCCGGACAATGAGGAGGATATACGCCTCTATTCGTGCTTAGCTAATAGTTCAGCTGACGAATTTAACCGCGGCGATCAATTGTTCAAGACGCGCGCCGTGAAAGACACACTACAAATTGGTTTGTTTATTGCATACAGCAACAACAAGATGCGAATATTGAATACTATATATACGTTTATTAACGTCCACTTTTCTTGTAGGTTTTCATTTGTCCGCCACAGTAGTTGGACAAACACCACGTGCCCACTTCAATGTGGCCGTTACCTTCGATCGTAGGCGCATCTCGTCGTGCAACTGCACCTGCACTTCGCCCGCCTACTGGTGCTCGCACGTGGTCGCCGTTTGTTTACATAGAATTCATAATGTAAGTCAATTTGTAGAATGCACACACATTTTTATGCTTATAATGAATATCTTTCTTTTTAACTATTTCACTTGTGCACACAGCCCCTAGAAGTATGTTTACGTGCACCGGTCTCCGAATCTTTGACGCGTCTACAACGTGATCAACTGCAGAAATTCGCGCAATATTTAATCAGCGAATTACCTCAACAAATTTTACCAACTGCGCAGCGTTTGCTCGATGAGCTGCTCAGCTCACAGCCCACTGCCATCAATACGGTGTGTGGTGCGCCTGATCCGACAGCTGGTGCTTCTGTTCACGATCAGACTAGTTGGTATTTGGACGAGAAGACGTTGCATGCTAATATTAAGCGTATTTTAATTAAATTTTGCCTACCGGCGCCAATAGTTTTTAGGTAAGTCATAAACAATACAACTTTTATTTTTATTATTTTCCTTCACCGTTTTCATTGAATTTCTTTTGTTTTCTTACGCAGCGATGTAAATTATTTAACAAACTCTGCTCCACCGGCTGCTGCCGAATGGAGTTCTCTGTTGCGTCCTTTACGTGGTCGTGAGCCGGAGGGCATGTGGAATCTATTGTCGATTGTACGTGAAATGTATAGACGTTGTGATCGCAATGCTGTCCGTCTTCTGGAGATCATCACCGAGGAATGCATGGTGTGCGATCAAATATTGATATGGTGGTTCCAAACGAAATTGTCTCTGATGATGGGCTCACACGGGCATAGCGGTGGCAAGCACTCGAATACGCATTCGAATTCAACAGCTCTGCAGCATGCATGTAGCTCATTGTGTGACGAAATTGTGGTTTTATGGCGATTGGCAGCGCTAAATCCCGGCTTGGCGCCTGATGAGCGCGATATGCTGCATGCACAATTTACTGCGTGGCATCTTAAGATACTCGATCGCGTAGTAAAGTGTCGCATGATGCCGCCATCGTATAGCAATAAACATCAACAGAATTCAAGGTAAAAGAATATGACGCAATTTCACGGGAGTTCTTTCGTCCGAAGTTCTTGTCCTTTTATATATATATATATATATATACCAATCATTATCCTTATTTCAATTCCCAACTTCATCCCAACAGATAGCGATCCGTGTTTTTACCCCTATCCGTTTCTTCACCTCGGTCCGTCTCACACTTAATTTTTTTATCGTTTTCTCCATTGTAACTTTTCGGGTGATCCTCATCCTTGGGGAACGTACCTATACTACGTGGCAAAATACCACCCTTGGTCACAATGAGGGGCGGGGGCGTAGGTTTTTATCACGTAGTCAATATCCTCTAACCAAATCTAACGTTTTTTCGAGTTGCATTCCCATATGGCGCCTGGCGCTTTTTAAACCCATTGTTTGTTTTTGTTAATTAAGTTCTGCTTACGATATATTTTGACATATAGACACAAATACATATAAGCCAAATACATTTTTTTTTACTTTTTGTTAACAAGAAAAGATTCAGAACCATATTTATTAATTACTACGTGAAAACTGTAGGGGGAGGGGGTCTTGGAATATACTACGCGTGATCACCGAGGAGGGAGTGGGGGGTTAAAAATTGCATATGGGTACGTTCCCTTAATCCCTAACCTGCTCTACATATTTGCCAAAATTTATGTTTAGGTCTTCACATCCTTTCTTCATTTTATCCAAGAACGAAACAAATACCTTCTTTAAATACCTCCTTTTCAGATCTGATGCCGAGATGTTTATTGGTTTCAAGCCAGCCATTGAAGCATGTTATTTGGACTGGGAGGAGTATCCCATTGCGGGAATCACACATACACACGATACCAATCCCATATACTATTCGCCCTTCACTTGTTTCAAGCACACTGATTCGAAAAGTGAAACGAATAGTGGTCAGCTGAATGCCACGCAAGCAGTAATGGCCAACAACAAACATTACAACTACATCAGTTCATCTACAGATCACGGGATGCATGCAGCGTTTAAGCAACGGCACGAGCGCCCGTTCCGTGAACGATTCTACATTTCGTCCAGCAACAACTCGAGCAACTCTTCAAGCGACAGCGTACATGCGCGTCTACATCAAGGACTTGGCTCCGGTGGAATGGCAGGCGCTGCAGCTGGCATTATCCCTATAGTTACTGACGGTTCGTCGAGCAAAGCAGGCGCTAGCAGCAATCTAGGTAACGTGGAAGGCAGTGGCTTACGTACAGATGCTGGACCAAGTGGAAGTGGGCATGGTGGAGGCGTTCCTGGCGGTGGCGTTACCATCACCAGCATAAGCGGGCCATCTGCTATTGCTGATTTGCCACGCCTACCCATGAGCAGTGTTTCCGGCGGTGGTGGGGGCAGCGGCGTAGGTGGCGGGGGTGGTGATGGCAATCGTTCTAGCGCAAGCAGTGAAGGATTTTGCGAGAATGAAGACTTTGGCGGCGATAGCAGTAGTAATAATCTCTGTGCCGAGGGTGGGCAAACACTGGAGCCGGCTCATGCGGCCGCAGTAGGTGTCGGCGGCGGTAATGTGAGTATGGCCATGCGTTTGGAGGATGTAGATGCACAGCGTGGCTTCGAAGCACTGAGTACGATTGTTGTAAGCGACGTTCCGACGGCCTTGGGAGCCGTTGGTCCCAGTGGTGTATCTTCATATCAAACAACCACATCTCTGTCGTCCGACACCTCGTCATCCACCTCAAGCTCCTCGTCGAAATCATCATCGTCATCGATGTTAATGGGCGCAGCTGGCATAGATACCACACCCGAAATGATAGCGAAAAGTAAAAGCAATATAATGACAGTGGTGGACGTCCGACGCATGTCAAAGGATGAGTCCTTCTCTTCATCCAGCGATGAGTTTACCACACAAGACTTGCCCACTGTGGTCAAACCAGAGGAACTAATACCTGTGGCTAGTACATCTGCTGCAGCAGCGGCGGCAGCAGCTGCGGCATCGGTGTCGGCACCATCTTCCACGTCGACTTCCACACCTGTATCAGCTAATAAACAATCGCCAACCGCCAATAACTCCCACGCAGCAGCAGCTGCAGTTGGCAATCAACTGGCGCCATCGACATCGGCCCCTGCAACTCAGCATACGGCAGCAGCCGCAAATGAAAAGCCGCACATATTCTCAAATGTCCGTCCCACTGAGGACGCATGGGATATACTGTTGGCGCGTGCCGAGGGTCTGCATGCACACGGGCATGGGCGAGAGGCATGCATATTGGCGGTACGTCTGGCGGAAGAGATGTTGGCGAATCCACCTAATTTAATGGTGGAACTACCACAAATGCCGAAGCGTAAAGGCAAAAATAAGAATATCAATCCCATCTCACATCACCTTACCGTCCTGGCATCTTCTACCCTGTCAAAATGTGCGTTCTTATGCACTGTGTTGTCGGAGAATTCGGAGCATTTTCACATCGCATTCAGGATCTGTTTATTCGCATTGGAAATGCCACGTCCGCCAGCCAGCACAAAACCATTGGAAGTCAAACTGGCCAACCAGGAGGCAGATATACTCACTTTGCTAAAGAAAATACCCCTCAACGAGCCCGAGCTGCAGGTTATACGCGAACGCGCTGAATGTCTACGCAGCGGTACATTCAAGACGCGTGGTGAGGCATTGTTGCCAATCAACTTGGCTACATTTATCTTCGATGCACTTGTTATGCCACTGCTAACAGTTAAAGAGCAACGCAATCGCTTCATGAGCATGATGTATCGGCTGCCTTCCGATGAGAATTTGGGGTTCGAGGCAGCCGTAGCCGCATTGGGACTGAAAGCCAACGTTTCGGAGGCAGAGCATCCGCTGCTGTGTGAAGGCACACGGCGTCAACGTGGAGAATTGGCACTTAGCCTGCTCTGCTATTACAAGGACGAACCGCGTAAAATTGCTAAGATCATGGAGAAACTATTAGACCGCGAAATACATGTTTTGCTGAAATCTCCGTTGCTGCCAGCCTATTACTCGAGCAACCCGCCCGTGCGCACGGCCGCATCGTCTATGTCGCGGCGGGAGGAACATGAGTACGCTACCGCCATGAATGGCGGCGCACATAATCCCAATCTCAATGACATGTTCCCCTCGGACTATGGCTCTGTGGGCGGAAATAGCCGTCCTCATAGTTCCACCAGCGCTGAGTTAGAGGTAGGCATGGGTACATTAAGCGTCTCTTCGTCCCAAGGTGGCGGAAGTGGCACACTTACTGGCGCCGCTAGCAGTAATCCAACAATGACCGGGCCGGGTGGTCAAACAAACGTCGCAGGCGGCGCTACCAGTCGTTCCAAGGATAGCCGTTACAAGGGCAAACGGGCATATCCTTCAATACCCAATCAACCGTCGGAAGCCAGCGCACATTTCATGTTCGAGTTAGCTAAGAATTTACTAATAAAAGCCGGCGGGAACTCGTCGACGTCACTTTTCACGCAAGCTACCACAAATCACAATCACCATGGACCGCATCGTGCGCTGCATATGTGCGCCTTTCAGCTGGGTCTGTACGCGCTCGGCTTACACAACTGGGTCAGCCCCAACTGGCTGTCGCGCACCTATTCCTCGCACGTATCCTGGATTCTTGGCCAAGCAATGGAAATCGGTGCACCGGCCATTAGTTTTCTTATTGACACATGGGAAGGCCATTTAACGCCGCCCGAGGCAGCTGGAATGGCTGATCGCGCATCCCGTGGCTGGGACAACAATATGGTTTATCCGGCGGCTGAGCTCGCGCTTTCCGTGCTGCCACATGCAGCCGCACTCAATCCCAACGAAATCCAAAGGGCCATACTGCAATGCAAAGAACAGAGCGACCACATGCTTGAGCGCGCCTGCATCACCGTCGAAAATGCAGCCAAAGGTGGAGGAGTTTATCCGGAAGTGCTGTTCCAAGTAGCGCGTTACTGGTACGAGTTGTACGGCCACAATACACCGAACAATGAACATGAACAGCACGACGATCACCTGGATCATTCTGCCGTGAGCCTCAGTGCGCTGATCGAATCACATCAGCACCACGAAATGCAACAGCAAATGCAGGCACAAGTGCAGGCACAGCAACAGCAGCCACCTGGCGGTATGGTTGGCCCACCGCCGGTCATGCCAACAGGACCACCGGGTGGCCCTAATGCGCCCGGACAGCCAAGTCAAGTCGTCGTCACCACAGCGCCGCAACCCTTCCAACAAGGTGTTGCCACACTGGCGTCCATTGGCTTGCCACCGTACCCGCCGTATAGTTTCTGCCAAAACCTTTACCATCACAACATCACCACCTATCCGGGTAATCAGATGCAAATGTACATCTCTGCCGGCCCACCGCCACCGCAAGCATATCCGGGCTACCCGCCACCACCAACACAACAACAGAATGCGCCACCCTTACAGCCAGCGGGCGCTGCTCAGCCACCCTCGCCGTATGTGCACCAATCGTCAGCACCCAGCGGCGGATTTCCACCACAAATGCAACCACAGCAATTACCACCGCAAGCATACCAGGCGTTGCAATGCGGCGCTGCGGGTGCGCCACCAACGGGCTTCCCACCACAACCTGGCCAAGGTGGACCACCGCAAATGCCGCCGCAAAATATGCAGCAAGTTGCTGCAGCTGCCGCGTACTATGCCCAGCCACCGCACCAACAAGGACCGCCGCAACATCCATCACAGGCAGCCGCAGCGGCTAGCGTGGCCATGGCACAGCACCAAATGCGGCAACAGCAGCAGCAGGTTGTCTATCCGCCGTTCGTGCAAGCACAGCAGGTGCAACAGGCGCCGCCAGTGCATGCATCACCACCACAGCCGCCTGTACGCCAACGACATCCGCATCAATTCACGTAAGTAGAGATGGAATTTGTAACAGCTGTCAGTAGTTTGCCTAGCATCAGTCTGTCTAGGTTAGGGAACAAAACCAGAATAGTTGATTGTGTGAAGTTAGAGCACAAAATCCACAGGCTAAATGGTATTATAACTGACGCCTTCAACTCCAGCTGCCCTGTAACGAAATCGAAGGTGAGATCGAAGCAGCCTTGGTAAGAAAGCAGGGGCGCGGACTTTTAACAAAGAAAATCTCACAGAGTGTAAGGATGAGAATTCATTTAGGCTGACGAAGTATGTTAAAAGGTTAGGTAGGCCAAGATAAGTAATTCCAAAACCTTGTGTGCGGGTATTAACGAAATACCCCTGCAGATGTAAGACTTCACAAAGCCTTAGTCAGAGGAACCATAGAAGCCAAGTCAGAAATGAGGTCACCTATATAGGTAATGAAAAAGGGAGGGCACGGGTTCTGCCACACTTCGTAAACATGGAAAACAGTCGGTCTATATCACTTTCCTGAAAAGTCTGCATACCAAAAGTTAGTAGAACACACTTTTGCCTAGTTAAATCATTGAGGCCGATAATTAACCACGTTTATACTGAAAGCAATGGAGAAGATTATTGACAAAGAAATAAAATCTTACATTCTGAATCAGGTTCATTTGCATTGCAAATATCACGCTCTGTTCGCGTTGACTGTGAAGGTACAGAGTGCTATTTAGTGTGGAGAAACAGTGCGATGCGCTTTCCCCGACATTTCTTCGGCAATACATTTTTTGTTTAGGCATCTGTGGCGCATTAGATAATCGAAATATGCAGCCAATTATGCGCAAGTAGCTACTAGCTAAGCTGCTTTAAACAAGAATAGCTGAAACTGCATTTGGGAAGAACACAGCGGTGCCAACGAGGAAGTAGCAAAACTCTAATCTAATACTGTGCTTCAAACTTTGCGGAAGGCTAGTGTTGGCGCTACCATATTCACTTATGCCGCGCAAGCGTCTAGCCGGCAAGTCTTAGGCGTGCAGCCCGAGGAAAGTGAGATGGAGCTACATACATGAGAATACGACCGATAGTGATTTATGGGGCGGTTGCTTGAGTGTTGAGAACTACGTAAGCCACGGTGAGAGAGGATTTTACCAAACTTCAACGTCTAGCGCAGGGCTGGCGAACCTCAGGCACGCCACAAAATAATTTGGGAACGGTGTTAATGGAGGACCCAATTCCTCAATTACTAAGAGTAAGTAGTATTTACTACTTTATCGACACAATTTCTTTTTTTCGGTTAAATTGGAGATCAAAGCAAATTACAAAGAATCAGTTTATTTTATTTTCAAACCGCACTAGAAGAAAAAGTCTAACTCATTCACACGACAGCCGGTTCTACGTACCGGAATAACTCGGGTTTTACCCGACCAAGGGGTGTTATTTCGGCGATCTAACCCCGTTTAAGTCGGCGAAGTGTCTCAGAAGTTGTTCGTCCATAGGGCTACATTGGCTACGCATTCTTCTGCTCAGGGCTGGCATCGAGTCAAACCCAGGGCCAAAAACTTATACCTGCTGTGTATGCCAAGACGACACCACAAAGACGCCTAACCTTAGTCAAGTACAATGCTTGCGACGGGTGGAGTCACCTCAGAGTCTGCTCAGGACTACGGAACCATCGGCAGTGGACCACATAATTTGTGCCCCCCTCTTGCTCCAACAGAGCAGCCTTCACGGCTAACCCCAGTCCACCTGAGCAGTTCAACAAAAACACCACAGCACCACACCACAACCACGACAGACCACACAACAGACACAACCACATAACCACCCACACGCCGCCGCCAAAACTCCTGGTTCCTCCTACAATCTGCACGATATGTCAGACAAGGATATTCCGTAACGTGACATCAGTCAAGTGCAACATCTGCCTTGGCTGGTGCCACTTTAGGGCATGTTCAGGTCTGCGCGCCACGCGAGATTGGACGAGGAACTTCGAAGGCCCGTGTTGCGCCGCTCGTTCGCAAACCCCAATTGCGGCGCCACCCACGACCACCACAGGGCGACGGTTACACAGCAGGAGGTTCCACAGCAGCGCACACAGCCAATGGCGGCAAAGCCACACACACCCCCTAACACCCCGCATAACAACACGTCTCCCGAACCACATGAAGCTCCTTCAATTTAACTGTAACGGACTTCAGAGCAAGACGAGGAGATAACCGTCTTCATGGGAAGGCATGGTATGTTGATAACTGCGGTCCAAGAGACGATGTTGCACAGCATTTCAACATTGTTGAGTTTTGCCGGATACAACGTGCACCGTTGCGATCGCGAGCGAGATAATGGTGGTGGCTTAGCGTTCATCACGCACCACACCGTGCAGTATCGTCTTATTGAAGCAGACATCGACCACAGGGATCAGGCGATGTTGAAATATTTGACGTTTACATAACTCCCCCTGTCACTTGCTGCCCGGCAGGATATCACCCTGATATAGGTGCGCACCGTATGGTAGTTGGTGACTTTAATGCGCACTACGATCTTTGGCACTCAAGCCTGTCAAACGATCGTAAGGGAACAGACTTGGCTGAGCAGATAGTCGATTCGACCTTCTGCACAATGAACGACAACACACGCACCAGGTTTATGTGCAGACATAACAATAGTCAGCGCTGGTCTGATAAACAGCGTATCATGGCGACCTATGCTGACTTTTGCATCAGACCATCTGCCCATAGTCATCTCGATCGATAGACCAATCGACTTTGCTCCGCGGAACACCGGACCTATATCAACGTTTCTAAAGCTGATTGAAAAGACTTTGCGGATTTTACTGAGAGCACCTTCGCTACGCTCCCCACCTTGGTGAACGCAAGTTCCGCCCAAATTTGCCTGCTGAAGCGGCTGTTCTAGCCGAAGAGCGAGACAACCTTCGTCAGGCTGATCCTGGAAATCCCCGTATCAGGGATCTCAACGCGGAGATTCGACAACTAGTTAACATACATAAGCGGAAGAAGTGGGAAGAGCATCTGAAGACTTAACTTCACCTCTGGTGTGAGAAAGCGTTGTTCAACCGTGAGGTCACCGTCCAATCCGACGAAGAACGACGACAGGGTCGAAATTTTTTCGCCGAAATTGCTTCGCCGGACCCGGAGGCTATTTTAGCCTCTGGCGGACAAAGCAACCGTCGGGTGACCAGAAGGCTGCACAAACTGCCAACAACTTGTGCTCCCCGTGCTTTCACCACCGGTGAAGTTCAGGTGGCCATCGGGAAGGCGAAATCCTCTAAAGCCTAGGGTCCCGACGGAATATGCATGTTGATGCTGAAAAATTTGGTTCCTGCGGGAGTAGCGTACCTAACGGAGGTCCTCAATATGTCAGTGACCACTCTCATCATCCCAGACATCTGGAAGGTGGGGAGAGTGGTACCAGTGCTTAAACCGGGGAAACCAGCCAACAAAGGAGAATCTTATCGACCGGTATCACTCCTTTCCCCGGTAGCGAAGACACTAGAGGCCTTGCTGCTTCCGTATCTCGCAAACCACCTGAACCCAGCGAAGCATCAGCATGGCTTCCGTAAAGTGCACAGTACAACAACAGCACTTAACGCCATAAACACTCAGATAACACGTTGCGTTGGACCTGTCAAAGGCGTTTGACACCGTCAGCCACTCCACGCTGCTAGAAGATATAGAGGCTTCCTCTCCACCACAGAGGCTCAAACGGTGGTCGGCGAATTATCTGAGTGGCCGACACTTGTCGGTAATGTTAAGAGACAAATCGAGCAAACTCCGAAAAATAAAACAGGGGGGTCCTTTCCCCACTACTGTTTAACTTTTACATTTCAGAACTCTCTCAACCAACAGAGGGAGTCTCGATTGTCTCGTACGCCGACGATTGCTCGATCATGGCGTCTGGGAATGGAATTGATAACTTGTGTTCGAAAGTAAACGGGTATCTCTCCGGGCTTTCTCGCTTCTTCACTGCCTGCAGCCTAACCCTCTCCCCCATAAAATCCTCTGCGACCTTGTTCACCACCTGTACGAAGGATGTCAGGCTACCGCTGGGAATTCACGTCGATGATACAACAATTTCGACGGTGAACAACCCCAAAATACTCGGAGTAACATTCGACAGCCTGCTCTCCTTCTCTGCGCACGCAACCGCTGTTGTCAACAAAGTATAGAGCCTCAAGTCCTCAAGTCGCTAGCCGGCAGTACCTGGGTCAAAGACAAAGAAACGTTGCTGGCAACATACAAGGCAATAGGCCGGCCGGTTTTAAACTACGCAGCACCAGTGTGGTCGCCGGGGACTAGTAGGACGCAGTGGATAAAGCTACAGACGAAACAAAACACAGCACTTAGGACAGCGACTGGATGCCTTCTGATGTCGCCGCAACATCACCTGCACGACGAGGCGAAAATGCTCCATGTTAAGGAGCATAACACTATGCTCTGCAAGGAGTTTCTGGTTGGGAGCCACCGACGTGGCGAGCCCTCGCCCAGACACGTCAGGAGGCATCTCTCTAATTTGGAAAAACTGTTACAAATTTTTGACTTGCCGAACGCAACTATTGTCCATCACGAAAACATATGGTCACAAAACATAAGGTTGAAATTTTTGTAAATAGACAAAAATTGAGTTTTCGAGTTTTGGTATTTATATGCTTTTTAGCTGCCTGCTGTGACTATGATAGTGCTAACTAGTTTTTACTTCTTGAAATATTCCTGGCGAACATTGAACGTTCACTTTCATTTTTTCTTACATGGAGGCAACATGAATTTCAGTTTGTTTACAAATAAAACATAAACAAAGTCAGCTGGTGTGTCTTCTTCTCCGGTTTTTGCAAGTGATGGCTAATTTCCTGTTCGCTTACTTTTTTGCTTTTTCTTCTCTTTGGGAGAGAAATTTCGCTTACGCTCTTGATTTTGTTTGTTGGCTGGTGTTGGCTAATTTTGTTATCGAAAACAACTATTGATAATTATGTCAAAAGCTACAACTAACTTTAGTGTTGTCCTAATTTGACTATGAATATGCCTAATTGTTTCCAAAAATTAAAAATGCTTGCTTACAGTTCAAAATGGCTCCTCGACGAGTATGGTCGTGTTGACCTGTCGAGTTTTTGTTAAAACAAATATCTGATTAATTTACACATAAAAATGAAGTCGGTTCATTAAATACAAAATTAAAAGTTTTAAAAAACAAGAGAAGATAATACTATAAATAATATAATAATTACATAAGTAATAGACGTTTATAGAAAAAGAGTTGATATAAAAACGAAATGAAAATGTTAAAGCGTACCGTTGATACGGTACTATCTGATGAACAAAGTAACTGCGAAATAAAAAAGTAACATGCACTGTAACTGTTCCACATAACGCAACAGAAAATTTTTTAGACAAAACCTAAAATAATTTGACGAATAATTATAAAATTATCAAATTGGAGGAATAACCTGGCGATATGAGGACATAGTTCCCTGCCATTAAAATACAATAAATTACCAAATTGGAGGAATAACCTGGCGACATGAGGACTTAGTTCCCAGCCATTTAAATTTTTAATCTTTAATACATTCTGACATACCTAACAATTTGAGGAATAACCTGGTTACTTATGGACCATTAAATCACAGTACACTTTTCAATTTGTTATAATTGATAAATAATTAAAAGTAATAAGACGTTTGATGCATATATAAGCAGAAACTTTTGCACGTGGTTCTGGCCCTTAGCGGTATTACCATCGTGTATCAGTGGAGCGATGATTGAATACAACATTTGGAAGACAACATACTAAGATATATACTTTGAAAGCAGAGGAATAACCTGGCGGTGGTTTTATATAAACCGGCCAACCTACCCAAAACCCCAAAAAAAAAAAAAATTTATAAATGCTTGCTAAACTTAACAAATTTAAAATCAGATTTGGATTTAGATAAAAAACCAGACGGATGAAGAGTCACTGAAGAGTCTTCTTTGGTAATAAATTCTCTCATCGACGAATTTTCATCGACGTTTTCTGAATTCAAGGAATTATCGGAAACATTCAAAAATATTATATATCCTGACGTGACTTAACTTGATAAACTGAACTTGTTTAAATTTAATTGGTTGGAAATCAAATATTTTGAAATGCAGCTGATCGAGTTCCAGTGTAATTCAATATGGATCAAATACTTAGTCGTAACAAGAAAATAGCTTGAAGCAATCGAATTAGAAAGACCATCGGCCAATATGAGCAAAAATGCTAATAATAAAATTTTGAAAACTTGGAATTCAATTCTAGACACTTTAGCTATCTGCAGAAGCTGGCGTTCACACGCAAGGTTCACAGAGGCATTTAAGAGACGCTTAATTCGTTTTTTTTTGCATTAGTATTTTTTTTTTCACGATTTAACATGTCCCCAAGAACAGTGATAAGTCACGACTTGGTTTTGGCTACACTAAATTTGTTTTTCAGAAATTATGGCACGTGTATGTATAAAGGTTCGCCGGCCCTGGTCTAGTTGTGTGTTCGGGAGAAATGCGCACATGTCCGACGACATCATTGGAGATAATTCTCTAGCTAAACGCTCCATAGAACAGGCAGCCAAGCATACTCACTTAAATTTCGCAAGCTTTGGCAAATGAAAGGTCTTATCGACCAGTGACATNCCAAATACTTAGTCGTAACAAGAAAATAGCTTGAAGCAATCGAATTAGAAAGACCATCGGCCAATATGAGCAAAAATGCTAATAATAAAATTTTTAAAACTTGGAATTCAATTCTAGACACTTTAGCTATCTGCAGAAGCTGGCGTTCACACGCAAGGTTCACAGAGGCATTTAAGAGACGCTTAATTCGTTTTTTTTTGCATTAGTATTTTTTTTTTCACGATTTAACATGTCCCCAAGAACAGTGATAAGTCACGACTTGGTTTTGGCTACACTAAATTTGTTTTTCAGAAATTATGGCACGTGTATGTATAAAGGTTCGCCGGCCCTGGTCTAGTTGTGTGTTCGGGAGAAATGCGCACATGTCCGACGACATCATTGGAGATAATTCTCTAGCTAAACGCTCCATAGAACAGGCAGCCAAGCATACTCACTTAAATTTCGCAAGCTTTGGCAAATGAAAGGTCTTATCGACCAGTGACATTGAGGAATCCAGATCTCGTGCAAGCGAAGTACCACGGGTTGGGAAGAGTAGAGGTCATATTAAAGCCGTTAGGTCGCAGTGCATGCTCTTTGTTTTTAATATCTATTGGTGTGTTCATAAATGCATCAAGTCAAAGCATCAGTATGTTTAATTTCTAAACTATAATTTATGGAAATGCCTTATTTACGCAACTAAGTTCCAATTCGGCATTTAACCGTGGCTGCGCATATTGAACATTTCCATCAAGTATGGTGCTTTGGCTTAATGCATTGCTGAGCCCACTGTTGGCTGAAGGGTTCACATTTAAAATTTTGCATTTAATCCTGCAGCTCAACCCAATTACGTTATCTACTCGCCGCCTACAATGTTGGTATGTTGGCCATGGAGACGTTAGCACGTCGCGTACACGATGATCGTCCACAGGCAAAGTATGCTCGCAATCCACCCTACGGTGAGGATGTGAAATGGCTGCTGCGTATCTCCAAGAAACTCGGCACGCAATATCTGCACCAATTTTGCGTATGCGCAGTCAATTCGATAGTTAGTCCCTTCGTGCTGCACGATGTGGCTATCGAATCGGCACACTATCTGGGGCGCAACAATCATCAATTGGTAATGCAGCACTTGCGCTCGGCGCTGACCCCTTTGGTGCAAAAATGTCAACAGATGTAAGTAGCACTTTGTTGATTTCACATTATTGCATGTGTTTGTTTAATTACGCCCGCTCTCTCTCTCCAAATACAGGTATATTCAGTGTATACACCAGAAGTTATACCATCTCACGCAGGCCGATTACGAGGATTTTGCTAGCATCATCTTGGCTGCACGCGCCGCTTTCCAAATTACACCCGAAGGCAGTGCTCAGTTCAAAGATTGGCTACAGTCTATCAAAAGGTGAGTAAACGCTTGTGTATGCGTGGTTATAACAAAAAATTGCATATATTTACCCTACGCATTTCAGATCGAAGTCCTGCAAAAAAGAGCTGTGGACACAAATCAACGCAGCTCTACAAAGCAATTCCAAATGACAAAGACTTGATTCTTTTAGTTTGTCGCATTCATCATCAGCTCCCAAAATTGACACTTACTTTTCCACAAATAATTCAACGACTTCGGCAACATCATCGGTAACAACAACAGCTAACACCATGGATGCTTCGATCGATACAGCAACAGCAAAGCCCACTTCGGAGTCATCTTCAGCTGGCTCTTTGTCAGCTGTGAATGCGCAAAAATATGAATGTATTTCTGCGTCTGCTACGGCTAATAGTGAACTTTCTGGCAGCAACAACAATTGCAGTGATCGTAACAGCAGCAATAATCAAGACCACTGCAACCATAATACCACTAATGGCAGCAGCAATGGTAACAACAGCAACTCACAACATAATAGCGGCTGTGGCAGACATATGAAGGCGAACAGTATGGCAATTTCTATGCCCATAACAGCAAAATCCGTTGGCAGCACACCGCCAAGCAGCGCAGAACCAACAAGCACTAATGATTTCGCTTACTATAACAGCACAGGCGATACCGCAGCGCCAACAGCATCTAGTGCTGCTGCAGCAAAACGTCACGCGCAGCCTCCACCACCTCCACCGCCCCCGCTACCACTCACAACACATTATCAGCACCATCAGCAATCGACACAGCAGCAGCAGCAAGCACACCATCAGCACTATGCTGCCGCCAGTACAGTGGCGCCGCTGTCGGATGCATTTCACCACCAGCAGATGCAGTTGCAATTACAACAGCAGTACGAGCAGCACTATCAGCTGCAATCGGCTTACTACCAACAGCAGCAGCATCAGCAGCAACAACAACAGCAACTAGACGAACAACAGTCACACGCGGTAGCGCAGCCATCAGCACATTATCAACATCAGCACTGTCATACAGCAGCAGGAACAACAACAACAACCACACAGCATGCAGTGCGCAACAGACAAGCAGCTCACGCAACGAACACAGCGCAGGCGAATGCGCAACAACAGCGTTTGGCTCATGCTCTGCCCAGTCAGCACACGCAGCAGAACGCCGGCAGCGCTTCAACGGCAACACAGCCACATCTCTTTCCAACAGCTATGCTGGCGATAGCCACCGCCGCACCGGCAACAACGTACGCCGCCGGTAGCAGCGGCGCAGCAATACCAAGCGTCAGCACTGTTAATGCAACACAAAATGTAAATGTCATATCGGCAGCGCCGATTGTGGTAGAATTCAGCAATTTCTCACTAAATTGTATGCGTTCGAATGGCAGTGGTGTTGGAGCGGTAGCAGCCACAGCGGCAGCAGCGGCAGCTGCGGCTGCAGTAGCAACATCGCAAACGAATCACGATGCTGTTGGCCGAGGTTTGTCAACAGATGGCGTGAACGGTCAAGCTAATACACATCATCACTATCGGCATCATCAACACTTTCACAATGCAACAGCGGCAATGCATACACATCAACATACACTACAGCAGCAACAGCAACAGCAACAACAACAGCAGCAACAGCTGCAGCTGCAGCACGCTCAGCACCAGCATCAACTTCAGGCAGAAATGGGCGCTGCAGAGGAGCAGTCACAGTCGCAAGCTCAGCCACAACAACTGCAACACCACATACATCATGCGCACCAACATCAACACGCGTCACACTTTGGTTATCACCACAATCATCATCAACACTTGCGTCATTATCATCATCCGGCGCCGCCGCCACCGCCGCCACTGTAAAGCAATGAAGTCCAATGGTTGCAGCAGCACTGCGAATTGTTGCGCTAACTGCAGAGTAAGATAGAGTAAGAAAGGCAGGAATAACAACAAACAAACAAGCAATTTTTGCACTTACCACCGTTTCTCGTAATAATAGTTTGCTTATATTTGATTAAATATGCTTTGCGTTAAATTTATTAATTACGTTCGTTTGTTTATTTATTGAAATATTAACACAGATAAAAATCTTTGTTTAGTTCTGTTTTAATGCGTATGTATAATTCTAATGTGTGTATTTACATACATAGGTACATACAATACATTTTCATATTGACCTTCAATTAGTAAATTGGACTGATTTTTTTTATGTAAAGAAACATTTAGCATATTCATCTGGTTGATTTAAATGTACATATGTACACTATTAACTATATATAAAAACCCTAAAGAAAATGTTTATTAAGCAATTTTTATTATTTACAACTTAAATTTGAAAAATAATTAATTTATTTACAAGCGCAGGGGCAAAGACCATGGCATATCTAATTTCACCATGGACAAAGACGACCAGAGAAAATTTTAAAAAGTATAATTTATGTAGCAGCAGAGTGAGCAAGATAAAAATCGAAAGTGAAAATTTAACGGCAAGACAGTGGCTACAAAAAAATTTAAAAAAAATATAGAAATTAATACCCAACTTGGGATTGGTCTGTTTTGCAGTAGCAATGTGTTCAAAATAAATAACTTTTTCTAAATATAATTTCATTTCTAGCGAAAATAGGCACTTCAATTNAAAAATAAAAAATATAGAAATTAATACCCAACTTGGGATTGGTCTGTTTTGCAGTAGCAATGTGTTCAAAATAAACAACTTTTTCTAAATATAATTTCATTTCTAGCGAAAATAGGCACTTCAATTGCTTTTTTATGCACGCTGATTTTGCGCATATTTATTATTAAAAAAAAATCACATAATTATTATATTTTAGAATATATAAAATTTCATGCGCATATTCATTGTAAATTTACAATATTTTTTTAGCATTAAATAATTGTGCGCGGTTGTTTTTTTAGTTTTCTNTCATATAATTATTACATTTTAGAATATATAAAATTTCATGCGCATATTCATTGTAAATTTACAATATTTTTNATCACATAATTATTATATTTTAGAATATATAAAATTTCATGCGCATATTCATTGTAAATTTACAATATTTTTTTAGCATTAAATAATTGTGCGCGGTTGTTTTTTTAGTTTTCTGTATATTGCATTTTCATATTTCCCCTCTACATTTACGCATACACATACATGTATTAAAAAAAAAAAACATATATTTTATACAAATACCTAAATAAATATGTTTTAATTTAATTTCATCAACATTATACATATATGTACAAGCATCTCCATTACACAAAATCACGCAAACATACATAAATTATATACACATACATACATAGATATGAGGATGTTGCATATGTATGTACCTCTAAATCTGTACATATGATTATTTTTTTTACATTCGATGTTGCAACCATTTTTTTATTTTTTCATTTTTTCTTATATGTACATACATACATGATTTATTATTATTATAATTTTTATTTTTTGAGGAGGTGTAACTGTTTTTCTTTTATTTTATACATTTATTTACAAGAGAATGCATACAGTTACATATACAACATACATCCACAATTAATGCTAAATGAATATTTTGTATNCTTTTTTCATTTTTTCTTATATGTACATACATACATGATTTATTATTATTATTTTTTTTGAGGAGGTGTAACTGTTTTTCTTTTATTTTATACATTTATTTACAAGAGAATGCATACAATTACATATACAACATACATCCACAATTAATGCTAAATGAATATTTTGTATTTTTACATACATTATATATTTTTTCAATTATAATTTTTTTATTTAAAAAACAAAAATGCAAAAAAAAATATTATTATAAAAGCAGTAGTTTTGAATAAATATGATTTTTTGGATTTATCTCAAAACTCACGCGGAAAAGAAAAACAAAACAAATTGACTTTTTATTTATATACATTTGTATGTAGTTATATTTCGTTAATATCATTTAATTTGTTAGTTCCAGTTGTTGTTGTTGTTGTAGCGGCTACTAAGCCCCGCTCGGGTCGGTTCATCCGTCAACGTTGTTGTTGTTGTAGCAGCATATAAGTTCCCCAAAAAGGTTTTTGGGGAGTGGTGCTGGAGTGACAGTCCTTGGCCAGATATAAATCTGGGTCGTTCCGGTTACGTAGACCCGACTGTCGTGGGAACGCGTCAATGTTGTCGTCTGTTTCAGCTAAGGGGTCTGTCCATAAGGACAGGGGCATCAGCTGGGTGGGGTTCTCAGGGCATATGAAGAGGTGCTGAGAGTCATGTGGCAACTCTCCACATGCCGGGCAATGGTTGAGCACAACCTCATTAATTCTGCTCACGTATGAGTTTAGCCTGCTAAAATAGCCAGAGCGAAGTTGGGCTATTGTGGTGCGTTGGTTCAAGTCTTATGCGGCAATGGATCTATAGCAACACAACTTCAATAGAAACGAAGCAAAATCCAAGCGATCCAATGTCGTTCGTTAGCTGCGTAGAGAGGACTGCTAGGGTGTTAAGGTGGCTCTGCTTCCAGCAAGTGTCTGTACAAAGGGTTTTCCAATATTTGATATTGAAATGGAATAAAGCAAATGTGTGCGAGGTAAAGGTCTACGAATACCTAAAAAAACCTTTAAATGTCCGCCACGGATCCGCGACTTCAATTTTCAATAATTCTGTCGCACAGATCCGGCGGAATTTGAGTGATGACCTATGTTACGAAGGCTTTAAGGACATCGGTCGAATAACCCAAAAGAAAAAGTCTATCGGGTCTTGGTGACCAATTCGCTTCACCGCTAGAGATAGCCATACCCTCAGAAAACCTTCATGCAGTATGTGCGCTGTGGTACGTAGCGCGAACCTGCTGGAACCACAATCTCATCTACGTCCATATCATTAAATTTGGGGTAAAATAAATCAGTTATCACTGTTCTGTAGCGCTCGCCGTAGACGGTGATGGCCTCAAAAATCTCTAACCACGTTAATTGAAACCTCCGTTATTATGTTCCCTGACGGAGAGCATTGTTCAGGCGACATCAGAAGTAATTCCGTGGATGTTCAGAGTGCAAGGTTTTTTTTGCAGATCGGTAAAACTTCATACATTGCATAGTTTAGAACCAGCAGGCCAATTGTGTTGTAAGTTTCAAACACTATCGCCTCTTTACCTGTGCTCCAAGAAAAAGACAGAAAGCTATCANGGTTCAGGCGACATCAGAAGACATTCCGTGGATGTTCAGAGTGCAAGGTTTTTTTTTGCAGATCGGTAAAACTTCATACATTGCATAGTTTAGAACCAGCAGGCCAATTGTGTTGTAAGTTTCAGACACTATCGCCTCTTTACCTGTGCTCCAAGAAAAAGACAGAAAGCTATCAAAGGTGACGTCAGAATTTTCGTATTATTAGCTGGCGATACAGGTGGTGTCCAATCGGCGTGTCTTATCGAGAAGTATTTTGCCCTGTTTTCATGTGGTGAGTGAGGCAGCCGTTGATTTTAAAATGGCGAGGTGAGTCAGGTCGGGCTGTAACTCTTACTTTCGAATACAGGTCAGCAAGTTGATTGCCTCAAATTAGTCGGGTCTACGTAACCGGAACGACCCAGATTTATATCTGGCCAAGGACTGCACTCCAGTAACACTCCCCAAAGACTCTTAGGGGAATCTGTATGCTGTTAGACCGAGACAACCGAGACTCCGGAGGCTGGATGAACTTCGAAAAAAAAATAATAACAAATGTATTGAAGAGGGGAGCGGACACCTATGCCTATGACAAGCCCAACGATACTAAAACATTTCTCTCGCAGGGGCGGTCACCGTTAAGTTATCTGGGTTCTTATCATCGAAATTAGTGTTCCATCGGCGTGAATACATTTTGGTATTTCGACCTCCTTTACCCATGTCGTAAATAGGATAGCCGTTGATTTTTGTAGGAAGGGGTAAAGCTTCTTACAGTAGAGTAACTTTTCGCCTTAGAGCACAGGTTATTGATCCATTACAAATTGTGTGACGCTCATAGCGAAAAATAGTAGGCAGGGTAAGAGATCAGGGAATCTCCATCTGGTGATTGGGGATTGGTTGGTTGGTTGAAGTGTCGAGATCAACAACTCCAACTTATGTGCGTCCAGAGCCGACACGTTCCTTGGCTATTCCGTCGGCCTTCCCATTGCCATGAATTCTGCTGTGAACCGGCACTCAGATCAGTGCAACGCCATGTCTATCAGCTAAAGCCACAACGTTCTCTCTACATTGTTTTGTTATGCTGGAGGTGATGCTTACAGAGCCAAGTGTCTTGATCGCTGCCTGACTATCCGAGAAAATAACAACGCTGGTTCCTGCTAGCTTCGTAGCTTAAATTATTTTGCATGCCTCTTTGATGGCAAACACCTCTGCCTGAAAAATACTGCCGAATTCGGTAGTCGAATAGACTCTTCGATTTGGAGATCAGTTGAAAAAATTTCCGCCCAATCCATTTTTGAGACGGAGGTACATACTTCGAAGTGTTCAGTAAAAAAAAAGGTTATTCCACTCCTTTCTTGGTGGAAACATCGTGCCGAATTTTTTTTATTCTAAAGAAGAGCGAAGGATGTAGTCAGATTTTTCGCGAATGTTTGGGNGGCTTATTCCACTCCTTTCTTGGTGGAAACATCGTGCCGAATTTTTTTAATTCTAAAGAAGAGCGAAGGATGTAGTCAGATTTTTCGCGAATGTTTGGGTCGTTGAAAGAGTACAGGATACCTCCACGCCCGTACGTACGTTCTTTCCATAGTCTAAGTTCCCTCAATCTTCAGGCACTATGTGAAGCACTTTCCTTACTAAAGAGATCAATCGGTGGCAAATGACATATGTAATTCAAGACTTCTGTTGGACATGATCTGATCGCCTCAGCTATCGAAATGCAGGCTGAGCTTTGTATCCTGCCCCAGTTCTTACCCAGAATTTTCTTGCAGGAAACCAAGGGACGTGGGCTTTTTTACTCGGTGTTTTGTGTTCATATTCCAATTGATTTTCGGTGTTAGAGTGACTCCGAAATCATTGGGGAAGTTTCAATGAATAAGAATTAAATACAAACCGTGAGAGGACGTCCATTTTGCGAATTTCCGGGGTTGTTGGACACAAAACTGTGAAACTTACTTACCTACAGCATCTTAAGAGCCGTTTTCTCAAGTAGGTATTCAAATTTACATGCCCTTTAAACACAAATTTTATTCTGAACAAGTTAATAGTAAAAAAAATAAGTTTAAAATAAGCTTTATAAATATAAAAAAAATCGGACAATAAACACGGGGTATCCAAATATCTCAACTCCTGCTCCACCTATCGGCAAAATTTTTGTGGAGTTATTTTATTTATTTTTCTTGTTTATAGGTAATTTATAAACTAAATCAGACCAGGAAATCGGAATGAAAAAAGTCTTTGGTATATTTGGCCAAAGTTCGGTCAGCTTCAACTTTGGCCTTAAAAGTGATATTTGGTCATAAAAATAAAGCTTCAGTGCAGTTAGTAATAGGTGGAATGCGGAATTTTGTTTTATTAATATTTAAAAAGCATAGACAGACTTCTAGTTTAGCTGTTGGCGCTTTCGATAGCGTAATCGTACTCTCTGCCTGTTTTGGGACCAACTTACTTCACTTCTTGTTGTTAACTTTAGTTTGGAGATAAAACGTTTCGATGTTTTGCTATATTCGGTGTAATTTTTTCGTTCGTTTTTAACGCGTAATCTAATATCCAAATTTCTGTGATTAAATTGTTATTTTCGATGAGTTTCAGTCAAGGACCTGAGCCGGTTGAAAAATTTGATCGGTTCGGTTCAGCAGTTCGAACCATTTCTGTACCTTTGGATTGGTTCGTAAAAAGTGTTTATGTTTTTTTGACCGGGGCTTTGGATCGGCTCAACGGGTGGGGAATTATAAAAATATATACAATAAAAGCATATAGATACATATATGTATATGTATAATATTCCCATATGCTATACGCATACTATTTTGTTTGATATCTTGTCACACAACATACATAACATATTTAACAAAAAGTGGGGAAAATTTGTCCACAAAAAATTAGCCGAAAATCCCAATACCCAGTTGGCACGATCTCTGAGAAAAAAATCATAGAGCTGTTTATAGTTTTAATATATGTATTTTAAACAGATCTGGACCACAAACTTTCTTAAATATTTTGTATGTCAAAATATATTCGAAAGACTACACTTAAACTCTCTTAAACGTTTTCTGCTCCAGGCCAGTTTTCTAAGCTCTCATCCTCCGACGACAAATGTATAAGCACACTAAATATTTAGTTTGTTCGATTTGTAAACAAAGCTTCTCAGCGGTGAAAAATATACTATTGTGAACAACCTAAACGAACGAAATTCATAATAGCGCTATTCTTCATCGAATGAGGGCCGTAATACCAAATGAAAATTCGTTCGATCAGCACTTTCGACCACAGTCGAAGATCGAATGCAACTCATAATAGGAGCTTAAGACTTTATAAAAAAAGCTTCGGTTTTCGGTTAGGATTAAATATTTTTGGAAAATTTCGGTTCGGGCAATTAGTAGAAAATGCGGTTAAACCGGTTCGCTGCTAACCCTCTAGAAAGCTCTTAATGCTTCTTTAAACCTTTTTTCCATTATATGGTATTTTGGCATTTTTCGTGCCTTCAGCTTTAAAGAAAAAAATTTAATTATATTTAAAATAATCGTTTTTTACTACTCCCTTTTTCTAGAGTAATATAGTATTGCAGTTTTTTCATTAAACGGTTAATTGATTTTGTATGTATGTACATACATATGCACCTAAGTAACTTTAAAAGCTTTTTTAGTCCAGCTGCTCATGGCATATTTCCACGAGGTTTTAACATGAACATAAAAAAATTTTGTGACATTTAAAAAATATTGTATTAAAATTTTTTATATCTTTCATTCCTTAAATATTGTTTTCAATAAATAATTTATGTTTATCTAGTAAACTAATAATTTTTATGAAATGGTTATATTATACATATTTTCCTAACATCGATTTTTAAGTGTGACCACGTAGATAAACATTACATTAGGGTGATCAATGTTTTTTTAGCAAACCCTCGGAACTAAAGAATATCGAAAATAAGGAAATTAGTATATTTTATTTTGAAATGGGTTTATAACTAATGGTGTCGTGGTGGTTTTGACATTTCTCATGTATTTTATATGAAGAAAAACCATTTTTTGTAGAAGTTCTATAAAATCGTTAAAAATAAATATTTTTGAACGAATGAAAATAATAAATACCCTTCAGAAATTTTCATAGAATAAAATTATGTTGTTATATATTTTGAAACGAATTTCCGTAATCCCTTCTCAAGTTAGGTTTCTTTTCGTTCCAAAATTAATAATGATTATATAACTTAAAAATCTTACTGACTATTTCTCTCATAAACGGTAATCTTTTATTTACAACAATAAGTTATTTTATGTGTTTATAACCACAATGCACATACTTTGAAAAAATAATTAGTAAAATTATAGAGTAAAAATGTTGTATTATAATTCTATTGTTAAAAGATTTCTGAAAAATAAGGTTGTCCTTATATTCAATTTTCCATAATTCTGAGGATGGCAGCAAGAAAATTCAAAAACGTTGATTTTGCTGAGTATTGGACCACCCTACATACATATGTACATATACTATGTGCATGTATTAAAACTGCCAACTATGTATTTCTATTACTTATTTCACAAACTTTTAAGCCAATACCCCCATATGTATGCACATACATATGTAAGTCTTCATAAAAGTGCGGCAATTGTAAATAGAATTTTACCACCTAGCATTATGTGCTGGGAAAGAAACTTTTTTTTATTAACATTTTTTTTAAGGCGAAAAGTCACTAGTAAAGTAGAGTAATTCATTAGGTGTTTTAATTTACAAATAATATTTTTGATGTTATATTATTTAACTTTTCGGATAATTTCTTAAGTGACAAAACCGCTTGAAACCGAAAATATCCAGATGCCAAAATCACGCAAAAAAGCATAAACAGAAAGTGAAAGCAGAAACTAAAAACAATAGGCGAAAGTTTTAAGCTATTTGTGTTGTTGCAGTTGAAAAAACAAAAAACAAATATGTAGATGTGCTTCTTTGAAAAAATGTCACAATTAGATTTTTAAATGGAATACAAGTAGAGAAAAAACATTAACTAAAAGTATACAGCGAAATATATTACTATTGTAAAATATATAAATATAGTGGCCTCCAACCTCACCCTCAACCCAAAACAACAACGCAGTCCAATATTTAAAGCTCGCACACTTTGATTATTATTTGCCAAAAATTTTAAGGTACTTACATACATATGTATCGTACGTATGTAACTACTGTTAAATATTTTGTTTGTTTATTTTGGCAACTCACTCCAGATCCAGTAACGATCTCACCTTGATTTGTTCTACGCTAGCAGAACGCACGGGGAAACCCGACCTTCAAACATCGCACAATTTGGGGCAACGTGCTGCTGCAGCAACAACATTATCGAAGTCATATATCCGCATTCCAAGAAAATTCATTACCGAAGATCGGCACAACAGAGGGTTTGGGTAAAATGCTAAAATGACAGTCCTTGGACAGATAGAATGTACATATATGTACGTATATGGGTTGTTTCGATTTCTCAGAACCAACTCTCTTTTGTTCGAGTTTCAACATAACGAGGCGAGACGGCTCAGAACCACAAATGCATAAAAGTATCAAAATAACAATAACAATCGATATCCACAGCAAGCTATATACACATAACTTGACCATGAAAGACCGCCAAATAATAGCATCATTTTCTCACCTGCTCCTGCTCCCTCTGCCAGCAGAAAAAATAATAATTTCTTGAGTTAAGCTGTTTGTCTTTAGCTCCGCTACGTAGGGAATGCTCTACGCCATTTCCATGGGAAGAAAAAGATATAGATGGCGGCTTCGACTATACCGATGTTCGATGTGTTAAGACTTTATTGAGACATTCGAAGGGAGGCTGAAAAGTTTGGAGCCTATGAAATTAAGGCCTATAGAAATGTATACAACTTTTACTTTTTTATATAATCTAACTGTACTTCAATTCACTTCTAAAATTTATTAGAAATGCCTTTTAACCCAGTGAAAAAATATTCGCCATCTTTGTCTTCGAAATTCTGGTCTACTGCCGCCTTCATTTCCTTTTCACTCGAAAGTCTTCGTCCTCAAAGTTGTTTCTTTAAATTGGAGAACATGAAGTAATCGGTGGGTGCCAGGTCAGGACTGCATGGTGGGTGGTTGATTTCATCAAATCTAGTGGGTGCATTGTCTTGCAAAAACCAAACTCCTTTGGCCAGTTTGCCTCTTGCTTTGTGGAATAATAGCCTCCATTCAGTAAAGTCTTTTTGGGCAGATGTCGATGAACAGAATACCTTTACAATCCCAAAGAGATAGTGGCTCCGTGCTTGGATGCTGAACTTGCCACTTTGAATTTCCGTGTTGGCTTTTCTCCCTTCTCTGCACTCCACTGCATAGACTCCCGTTTTAACTTTGGATCATAACGCCGATTCCACGTTTCATCCACAGTGACAATGTGAGAAAAAATTTCGTCTAGACTCTCACCACATACTCTAAAAACTCCTGCGAAGTTCTAACTCGGCGCTGTTTGTCCAACGGAGATTATGCAAAATGTCTCCGATACATTCTTTGCTAATACCTTTGGTTTCAGCTATCTACCACAACTTGATTCGCCGATCTTATGGAACAAGTTTGACTTTTCCAATATTTTCTTCGGCAATGGTAGTGTTTTGGACGCTCAGACCTGGGATCAGCTTCCACCGACTACCTTCCAAGCTTGAATTCTCGGCACTTGTTTTTCGAAAAAATCCCGGCCCATACGAAAACTCCGGGCCCGGAGGGAAACACTTCCCTGGGTGTATCACATATTGAGGCTCTGTCATGGTCTAAGTATGTCCTAACTTCGACCCTTTCTCCAATAACCGGACGATGTTCTTTAATAATAATTGGATCAGCAAAAACCTGTCACCTGTCAAAATACATAGAGGTTTGAAATTTCAATCCAACTAAAGGGCGAGGAAACACTGCGTAATATAACACCTCTGTTCACCTTCGCTGGACAGGAGATTAAGCCCTTTTCGAGCAATAATTCGTTACGCAATATAAGTACAATGGTCGCTCTTTGTACTCATATTATTTTATTCAAGGTTTTGGTGATTGCAACCGCCAAAAGACAGTTACAGCTTCTTCGAAGAAACACCTCTACCACGAAAATTTTATGCATGCACAGATGACGCTTTCATAACCTCAATAATTTTGTGAAAGCCATAGGCGACTGATCTACTCTCCATGTTTGTTTGCTGAACATTACGCATACATTCCTAGGGCTTTCTTCTATGGATCTGGGAATTATTTCCCAAGGTGTTATGGGAAAGTTAATTAGTAATTTCATTTCTTGCAAAGAAATTCACTGAAAAATAGCTACGTTTCAGCACTACCCGAGCTCTCACCCTTAAACGTAAAAATATAAATGTTCTTCTCACCATTTCGTAATCCATTAGTCATTAAATGACGAGAATGTTCATTTATTCATTTTCCCATTGATTTTTAACTTTTTCAGCAAAATCTCAAAACAACTTTGTGAGATCTCTAAATGAAGACACTTAAATTCCAAACTCTATGTAGATATAGTTTCACTCATAATTTGTTTGCATTTATTGCAAATCCTGTATAAATATATATATATATATATATTTATGTATGTGCATACGTTTTTAAGCTTTTAAATTGTATGTAGTTGCAATAATTTACGCAAATATATCTATGTAACTATATATTTACATATATATATGTACATAGTTATATACAAAAAATACATACATACGTAGTTATTATTGCATGCATATATGTACATACGTACTTTAAAGTGGTCCAAAAATGTATGTGAAAATATAAGATCGGCCACCCCCTAGGATTGTTCTACACCGAAAAAATTTTGAAAAAAAATTAGGTAGGGCTCAAAGTTTTCCATGTATTTTATATGGGGAAAAAACAACTTTTCAATATTTCAATATTTTTCTATCGGAAAGCTTTGCTTATCTTCATGGTAAGTATATTTTACTATTCCTCCAAAACCCCCAGAAAATGCAATGGGGGACCAATAAAAAATCTTTAATATTAAAAGGTGGTTAAATAAACAATTGGATAATAATATTGGAATTCTCTTGAAGATAACCACAGTTTTTCGATCGAAAAGTATTGATTTTCAAGAATTTAATACCATTTCTACGAAAAGTTTGTTTTTCCCCATATAAAATACAAGGAAAACTTTCAGCACTGTGAGCACTCGCTAAATATTTTTTGTTTTCAAAATAAAAAAATAGGGTATATTCTTCGGTTGAGAACAATCCTAGGGAGTGGCGGCATTAAAATTCCGGCTTTATTGTTTTTGGACCACTCTAAATGAAATTAATTAAATACACACATACGTATGTATTTATACAAGTAAAGATAAAAATAATAAAAAATATATTTACACTATTAACTAAGCTATTTAAAAAAAACAGAAAAAATTACCTCATTCTTTACAATTTTACAATTAAATATTATTAACGTTTACGGTAAATATGTACGTAGCATGTATGTATTATTGTATACTTAAAAATGAACTAATTTAAATACTTATCACAAGCAAACTAGTTGCAAAAGCAAATATTTATAACTATTGCATTGTAAATTTTAAAGAATTGTGTATTAGCATTTTATGGTATTGCTATTGAAAAAGGCATACATATATAAGCATATATGTACTTATGTGTACATATGTATATGGGTCGATCCATAACAAATCGACCAATGTATGGAATCAACCATTTTTGATTCGGATGAATTTTAATCAGAACTTTTCTCTTATTATAAATATAACGAAGCCCTGCCAAAGGAGAAAAAGTAAAAAAATATGTATATTCTTGAAAGTTATGAAAAAATTTAAATTTCACGATTTCCAGAATTTTCCAAGGTTTGTTTTTTATTGAAAAATTATTATAATTACATAAATAGTTCTAGTCTCGTTTCAAGGGTGATATTTAATATAAATATTTAAATAAAATACAAAAAAGTTAAAAAAATTATAGAATTTTGAATAAAAAAAAAATATTCAACAATTTTTTTTGGGCATGCGGCCATTTCTAATGCCGAATTTCCACTAGACAAAAAATGTATGCCATTTACTAAACTAATTTTAAATGTAATGACACGATTGTTTTTTAATGCCCGATTTTGTCATTCGTCATTATTGCCATTTAATGCCTAGTGGAATCACAGTATAATGAAAAAATTTTGTGGGAAAACAAATTTTTTTTTATTAGAAACGCCCTCAAGTGAATAAAAAATATTTGAATATAATTGTCATAAGGCCATAAAAACATAAAAAAAAAGAAATAATAAAAAAAAGCGTAAAAGCAAACACTTATCTCAAATATGTTTATGTAAATTTATTATTAATTTAATTTCAAAATTTTTTTTCAAAGTTCAAAAATTTATATCTTAAAAATAAACCTTGAAAGTTCAGTATCTTTTAAGATGAGCCAAAAATATATACAATTAGTAGGAACATAAATATTGTAACACATATTTTATGCTATAAAATGTACACAAAATAATGAAAATTTGTGACCCAAATTTTTTTGTACATATTTATTGTTATAAATATATTTTTTACAATAAGAGAATATGCATTCGAAATATCCGCCTTTGGCCTTCACGCACGCTTTAAGTCTGCCTGCCAATCATCAATAGCCGCACGCACCTCGTTCATTGGAACATTGGCCACTGCACGAATCAAAGCTGCCTTTTTTTTGCAACCATGTCTTCTAAAACTGTACACAATTTGTAGTTGAGCAGGCTCAATTCAGGACTGCCAATCTCTAGAGGAAATTAATGCTTGAAAATGCTTGTATTGGAGCTAGGTTTGAGTCGTTTTAGCTTTATGGGTCGGAGCAGAATCCTACTGAAGAGTCCACGATTGGTTTTAGGAACAGAGAAGGGTTAAGCGGCTTTACAATGACCTTTACTTTCATGGTGAAAGCTGAACCAGTTTTGAATTCCCGAATTTCCACTAATGCGGAAATAAGGAGAATGCTAAATATTGTTATTGGAATGGACGCGTTCAGGGTTGTAACAGTATTTATGTCCCTACCAATTAAGTTTTCGCTTTTACGATTTTTTAAATTAAAAAATTTTGCATTTTTTTTTATTTTTCGATTTTTTTGAATATAATTTTTAACAACCCAAATATAACCTTTAAAACGAGACCACGACCAGTTTGGTAGCTATAATAGGTTCCAAAATCCCGGAAATGGTGAAATTTTGAACCTACGATTTTTTTATTTTGTTTTGTTTGGCACAACTTCGATGTAAGATAAATTGAAAATGCGGACCAAAATTCATCTAAATTAAATCATGGTAGATTCCAACCATTAATCCATTTAACATGGAGTGACCCATATTATATACATACATACATGGATATAAATAAAAAAAATACTGCACTAAAATGCAGTTGTACAAATATTTATATGTTTAGAACTTACATACACATGTATGTAAGCAATTTGTATAAGATATAGAAAAGTTTTGTAATCGTAAACAATTTTGTAAATATGTAAAATTCCCCCTAAAAACCCTTGCGAAAAAGTATGTATCGGTATCCATTCTGTAGCACGTTTTATTTGATATCTACCAATACTTATCGTAACATTTTATCAGCGTATCTTACAAATTCAAGGAAATAAATTATTTTGACACACAACCGCTTGTCAGTTTGGACCGAGACTAAAATTTTTCGCCAATGCCCTTTCTTCTTTGTGAAATTACGCCAGTTGTTCACACCTGCAGACAAGTTCTTACCGAACTCGGTACGGTTCGATTATTTCACTGCAGCATCGTCATCCATGCGTACAACATGTCCAAGCCAGCGCAATTGTATTTTTCTGCGCTTAACTATGTC